TTTAGACGTGAACCCTACGGCGACATAGGAAGATTGAGTTACGAGAGTCTGGCCGATTCCCGAGGGCCTGTTTAAGCTGTATAAATAAACTAGTTAATAAATTAATATATCACCGGTATCTTTTTCTCCCGCGGCAGTCCCGGCGAAAATCGCTAACAAGACTGGGGGGCCATTAATAATGGGCCAGCCGAGGCGATGAATTCGCACCGCGCTGGGTAGGTTCCCTTCCCTGGCCTCCTTATTAAGACGTAACCACTCATCGGTACGATAAGCCCTGCGATTCAGTAAAACCGCCACGCGCATCTCTCTCTCTCTCTCTCTCCGCTGCTTGCAAGTTTCTTATCACTGTACCGTTGCAACGACCCGAGTGATTTATATCACTGGTACAGTTACGATACCGTTGACTTCATCAGCCGTTCGACGCGTTGCGCACTTCGTTTTGATTAGAAATAATATTTCCAGGAGTACCTCAGTTGAAAATCTTAAAATCCCATCTCCTCTTCTTTCGAGATCCTTCACATTTAATAATCGGGAAAACTCGTATAAATTCGATTGCAAAGGTCAGTCCGTTTTACTGACTGAGATCGGATAACCGACGTGACCTATACAACTATGCGAATTTACAACGGCGCGATTTAAAACTGGACAAGGAGATCGTTTCAGCTGACATATCGTAGTATCCGGGAAGGCAGCTGGTAAAAGTTCACCGGCGGAGCCTTAAAAAAGAACAACGGCTATAAAATAAGAGACTCTATTGATACGTAGATAGTTATCAAATAATAGAGGAAAAGGTCACCTGCCTGTTGGCAGTTTTCGAAAAGGCTAAGATCGTTTCCATTGTAGCTTTATGGTGTCTACGTCATTCTTAAATTAAGTCTTAATCATCGTTTTACTTGTCCTGCAGCAATACTGTCTTGTAATATGTAAGAAACATTATATAAATCCGCAAACGAGATATGCGCGATTTTTATTCCAAAGAAATTGCAGGTCAGGTGCTTTTCTCGATTCATTAAATTATTGATAGGTCAGGATGTGATTTAAGAAATACGGCATCATTTTTTATACGCACACGTTAAGTCGATAGAAGGTTAATGAAAACCGGAGGAAAATCTGATAAAACGATCCCCAGCTACTAACTATAGGAGGAGCAGGGACAGGTTGAACTCGATCAGATAGAGAGACAATTAACCAATTACTGTAATTAAGACACACGCCTCCACTTAGCATTTGTTCGACCCGAGCCAGGCTCGTTGAATTTGCATTCGAATCGAGGGCCAGGTTCCTTTTTCAGTGGGACCTGCGCTCGAGCTTAACGATCCGGGTGGTTCAATTGATTTTTCTCTTAACTGATCCAACCCGTCCGTGATCCGGTGTTTTTTGCTCGTTCCGGACGACTTCAAAATAATTGGACACCGCAAAACGTTCTAATACCAAATCACTTACAGTGTCCTTCGAATGATTAACAAATCGGAATACCAATAATTGTGTATCTGTGTGATTCTTATAGTTTGTCCAGTTACATTTTGATTAATCTTTAATGAAGGACCTCGCACGTGCGATCGTTCCTTACTTAACAACTTCCTAATTGAACAAACTACTCGGTTAATAATCTACACGAAAACAGATTCATTTATTTTAATCTTCAAGCCATTCGATTCGATTTCGAGGAGTATTTGACGAAACGCAGACGTCACTGACCCGAACAAAGGTATCGAGGAATTCCATTAGCATCTCGGTCAAGATAAATGTAATTGGTCACGGCTGATCGAGGGATCTCCGTGGCAGGTGCGGTTCACCGACGTATCAAACGATATTCCCCGGGAGGGGTCCGTGTAATACGATTAACACAGCGTCACCGTAGGATCTCTTGTAGCCACGCTGTCGCAGCGACGGGGGGTCGTCTAGCGTTAGATCCATGATCCACAGTCCACACGCTCATTTACGGTCCTCGTTTCCTCGTTGCTCGGAATGATTTATAGCTCCTCCGCTCGCTTGTTAAACGTTGCCCGAGCAAGAACGAGTCTAATACTCCCGTGGTTTCGACTTCGATGCTCGATCTTTCGATTGGTAACAGAATTTAGAAAAATTTGAGTAAGTTCGAATTGTGTAAAAGAAAAAATAGCCGGACATATTTAACAAGGTTCGTGTTCGTTAAACTCGAATAAACTCGTCGATCGTGAATTCGTTCGGAGCTTCGGTGGTCCTCATTAGAGGTGTATAAAATTATTTATGGGCCACGCAACGACACGACCAACGAGTTTTTTAAGCCCCGCCGAATTCGTGAATCTCGCTGATTGCTTCGCGTCATCGTTTCTCAATTTTCGTTATTACCGGCAGAACTTTACGCCAAGTAAATCATTGAAAAGAATTTACTTTCAA